GGTGAATCTTATTTTTGTTTTCATTGCAGTTGTATGGATATTCTTTTTTAATAAATACGTGATCCAAAACCCTGTGTTTTTTGTGTATAATGTTATTATGTTAAATATTGTTTACGCAATTGTCTTGTCACAGGCGACCCAAGCTCACGTCTCGAGAAAAAGCCAAAGATTAATTCATGAACGCGTCACGCGCTGTGTGACTCGGTGTTAAGTTACGAGAGGAACTGCACGTTATAAGGAATAGTATAGGGAACGAATATGGTCGATTTACAACGATACATATTTCGAAATATGAACATTTTTCTCGTAAAATCAATAAAACTTACTCATACCCTGTGTATCCGTTGTATTTTCTGGCGATTTCTGCCGTTTTAAGCTTGGTTTACCATCACTGATATTCACGTCATCTACTTTTATTACGTTGGTAAAATCTGTACAGACATCACACCAACCAACTCGCGTGCAAAGTAAGAAGACTATATTGAAGGCTTGAAATAATATTGCGATCGATTTTCATCAAGAAATGGGCCAGGAATATTCCACAATAGTGCAAATAATCGTGAAGGCGGATCGCAGAAAAGCGATTGCGTGACGTTCGGTAAGCTGTGAGATGAAATGTTATTACATACCAGACGTAAAAACTCTTCAGATTCTTAGTCTGCATTTTGTACCTAGTCTGCAGTCTATATTTTGTATCCGGTCTGCAGTCTGCTTTCTGCATTTTGTACTAACAGGTATCCGTGGCTCCAATACAGTTTATTTTTGGTTACATTTACTCGCAAAACACACATTATCTACCACAAAATACCTGTGAGTGAGGTAATTCGACATTTTCGTTCTTTCCCACATTAATATTCTTCTCTCCTTTTGTAAGAATGTAGACATTACTCACAATGTTTCAAGTAATCCACCCACCCTACAAAAAAGTAACTCTTGCATGCATAGCATGTCTATGTTTTGAAATAGGTGTATGCCCTTGGCCAGACTTGAGCGCACTATTTCAGTATGCTAGTCCGACACCCGTAGTATCACTACACTTAATTCCAAGGATCCAGTACCATCCAGGTATCTCAGTTACCCTGCTCACAGGGTCTAGTTTAACTAAAAATTGATTCGTAAGTGCCCATCTGGGCTATCTGCAATAGCAGACAAAACCAGAATTCTCTTGACAAAATCAAAGGACAAATTGTGTCATGACGAATTTTTGTCTCGATTTTTGCATCCGCTTAAAATTTCAAAATTGTCTAATTTCGTCAGCGCTTGATCTGCTTGTGAGACCAGCTGGCATAGTTTGCCAATGGACTCAAACTCCAGTTTCAGGATTCATCGTAAGTCGTTTCAAAGTTCAAAGAAAGTTAATGCCTTCCAGGTAAATTTTAGTCGAGAGGATCGCTCTCGGCGAGAGCGGCACTCAGCAGTCACACAATCACAATTCGAAACAGCCTTCGTTAAAGATGCCGTATATGATGATAGTGACTATGTAATCCATTGACACACTTGTTGTATCTTTTTCCGTGCAAGTCATCTCTGCAGTGTTTTTAAGTTCATCCCGTATACGTTACATATATCTTGATTCGGATTCCTAATAAAGATCAACTGAACCTTTAAGATCAATAGGTTGGATATTAGATGTATTCGAATGCTTTGATCGACCTGTTCTACTCTAGTGTGCCCGTGTTTCACTTGAATTTTCCTCACACATGAATTAAAATGAATCGTTATTTACGTTTGTTAAAATTACTGGGCCATCATCCCTCCTATAAGAAAGCTACCGAGTCCTTGGAGATTCGGTTTGTCAGACTAAAATGTGCAGTAGTCATAACTTATTTCAGACGTGAACTATTTTTCCAACAAAAAAGCCAAAAAGACAAAAACAAATAAATAGACAGGCAAACAAAGACCTAAATGGATTGTGCTAAAAAGATAACATTACATGCGTTCGATAAATTAGAGTTGATTCCCCGCACCAAACGGCAAAGAAATATCCCCAGTTCCTATTTGCTTATTCTTATTGAGTTTTGCGAACGATCACAACGACTCAATCCTTGTACGGTTAGATACTCAGTCATGGATATCCCGGATGCATGAACTTCGATTAACTGCGCTTGCTTTGCGATGTTCATCCGGGCTTCTGCCACTGAAATGGTGGCGATTGCACCCTAACACACGCACGCGAGAAATTGTTAGTAAGACATTATAGACTATCAGCCTGCAACTTTTTGTTATAGTGAGTAGTTTTCAAATTTAAATTCCACCTAAACGACAACTGAAAACAAGCTAATCAATACAGAAATTTTCCGTATTTACATATAGCCTCATCTAAATAATCCGGAGGACTGGGTGAACTCGTGACAATTGTGTAAACCCAAGACGAAGTCGAAGGTTTGCATAACAGTTTGAGGAGTTCTCCAAACCAACCCAATGTTTATGAGGCTCCATAATTAAACAGAAAAGGTCTTCCACTGCATTCCGTTTAACATATTCAGCAAAATATACAAAGGCATGTAACCTCGTAGGTGTTGACATACTGTCGTCGAAACACACTGATTATCGACCAATGAAAGTGTACCTAGTATCTCAGTGGCTTTATAAGGCTTAATGCATGATTGAGATGGGAATCCATAATATAACCTGAGACTCTTTTAATTGACTCTTTATGCACCAGTTTTATCCCGCTTTAGAGACTTATTATTTTGTGTCTGTCTCCATCGATATAAATGGACAGACAGAGTAACATTCTCTAATTACACTATAAAATTTGCTGGTATAGACTATAAGCTGTTATGAATTACAATTAGTCACGGGAGAGAAAAAAGTAAAGACTTGTTTTTTTAAATTTAAATATGTGTATAAAAGAGACTGGATAAAATGTGTAGTTTTGAAGTGCCTCGAAAAGAATTGATTAACGGTATTTTCTAACAAAACATTTCAAATACTGCTCTAAAATAACACTGCCAACAGCCACGATGTCTAAGTCAACTGATTTAATTAAAGTCATTAAACATTTAAGGTTTGCAAATACGAGTCTAACTTTTAATCATTGTTGTGCCCTACCAATAGAGGAGTTCCTTACATACAGTGATCGCCTGCAGCATGGTATGTTAAAAGACTCCTTTTTACAACGTCTTCATTATAGCTCATTAAAACCTTAAAAGTTGAAAGGAGACCGAAGTCCACTCGACAGCCTCAATAAACATTCAAACATCCTTTTGTGGCATAATAATTGGAATAAAAAGGAGAAAAAAAGAAAGGGAATCAAAAAAATCTTTATGCAAAAGGAAAGTTATCATGGAGACTTAGAAAAGAGATGTATGAATACGGGCAGACTTGAGCTGTTCAGCTATTTATAATACATCCTTTTAGGGTTATCATATCGCTTTCACGACAGTCCTGGGCAAAATTTTTCTTACGCAAGGAATGGGGTGGCAAAATAATAACGTGCGAAAACAAATTCTAAAGGCATTCTTCCCAAAATCAATTAGAGAGATTTTAATCATTAATCACGTCAATGTAGTTTTTGGCAAAAAGTTAATCCGGTATTCGTTGATGACTTCGATATTTGGTTTACTCGTGACGTATGTCCAAAATTCTGCCCAGTTGCTGAACAGAAAAAGCAAAAACCCATTTACTATTAAACCTGGTTTGCATAACGCATGTTAAATCAGCGGCAGCTGAAAGATCCAAATTTTAGAGATCGAACAGCGTAAGCTTCACCTTCATCAGCTTTTATTATCTTTCGGTAATTGCTATCATCATACGCATTTCTTCCACAAATTTTCCGGTGTAAGTTATAATCGTATCTCGCTGGAATTTTGAGAAGGTGCTCATTTCTATGGCAAACCCTTTTAAATGAAACTGTTTTTCCCTTTCTTTCGCGCCTTCCTTCACGGTCCTCACAATATTTCATTGTTAATGCGTCATTAGCTAATTCCATGACCATTTGATATGGTCTTAAGGGCCCATTTTTATCAACACATGGTAACCTTTGAATACTTCTTGAGGTGAGACTTTTATCGCAATAAACAGTTAGTGGAGAGCCAAAGAACTGCATTTTGATTTTTGTGTTTTCGTTGTGGCTACAACCAACCAACATTTCAATTCAACTGACTCACAATCTTCCCGTTAATCAGTGCCCACGATTAGAAACAGCTGTAATGTTAATGATCCCAAGCAGTTGACTGAATCCTTATAATAAGACATGGATAATATGTATATACATCTACTCATTAAAGCTTTCATAGGACATCGTCATCAACTGGAAGCTCTTTGCAACAGAAAATTAAAATTAAATAAAGTTTGGTTTATAAAGTAAACTTAGAGGTTGTACTACTTTGACACTCATTCGTGGAAACTGGTCATCAACAATAAGATCGAAAGAAGTGAATACATTGAAAAAAGATCTTGTCTTTCTTTTACTCCATAGTGAGAACAAAAGTATTAGGATGTTCTGTTACAAACACCCGGTAGAGGGATTTTTTTACTTTTATCCTTACAAATCATTAACATAGTGGAACTAAAGGAGCTCTCGACTTGTATTTGTTGTATATACCAGCCGTACGGGCGTTGTATATTATGTTTTACTCATTTTCGTTTGTCAGATGCGACCCTTTGGTATGTTAATATCGCCATGCCTTCTTTACCGAGACTTATCTCCGACTTAGAAAGAAACTTTGTGTTCCATTACTGGATCTTGTCGTTTTATGAGATTAATTACATAAGATATGTCCGAGCATACTGCTGAAACAGGAACTTAGGAAGAAGTAAGCCTTCAGATGAGAAAAGACAGGCATTGAAAAATAATGAGGAAACACTGTTTAATGGGTAATGGTGCGCCCTAGAAATAGAATTGATCAAAATGATGTTAATTAACGGTCCAATGATTTCGGTTCACACCCCAAATTTGACGTGGGAAGGTTTCCTCGGGGGAACTATTTAGTCAATCAGTCTGATAGACATATATATGATATGAAATTGTAAATTTCATATCGACGCGACGCTTTTGAATGCCGGCGGATATAGTTAGACTCGGATTCACCAGTCAGAGTAGCCTATATAAACTCCTCAGAATAACTAGTTAATCATTCTGATCAAGACTGGGTGAACTGAAGAGAAGCAGACATGAACACAAGGTGGATTATACTCTTCCTCTCCCTCATTTATCTGCTGCTTCTGAATAATCAAGCAGAGGCCTTCGGCGGGCCGAAACTAGTGGCTAAACGGCGTTTTTCCCTTGAAAGAGTCGTCCAGGTATTTGGCTGTTACTGAGGTCAGAGAGTTTGACTGTTGTGAAAGTTTGTGAAAGCAAAGTTGTCATTTTTTCTCTTGCAGCACCAAGATCCAGGACAGGAAACTACGAAGCCACTGGATTATGAAGGGTCCATTCCCGTCGAAAGAGAAGTTCGTCAAAAAGAGGTCAGTTGGTGTTTTAATTATGATGACATTTGAAAACCATGAGAGAGCTTACTTAGCAGTAAACGGGAAGCATTCTGCTATTTAAATCAAGTAAAATATATAATTTGAATTGTATTGTGCTAAGGAAAACATTTCAAAAGTGAGATTTATTCGTCTTGGAATCTGCAAACCGTCAGTGTATGATTCAATGTGATCAAAAATTTAATTGCAGAGCGGGGAAACAACTTGATCCATCATAAGTTTTATTTCTGGTGATCAGTTGATTTTTCACTGACGAACTATAACTATTTTTATCTCTTTGATAGAAAGACGACCCGAATCTGGAGGCTAACGAGTGGATGTACTGAGATGGAACGCCTACTGGCTTGGCTTGTGGATAAACAGTTAAAAGGGACCATTGTATTTCGATGCGAGTCCAGAAGTAGTACTGATCGTAAAAATATTGTGAAATATTCCGAAATAAAATGATTTGAAACCGGTCAAGCGAACAGTATTCTAATTGCTTATCTCTAGTTTTATCGTCTGGGGGAGGGGGGGGGGGGGCGGGGGAAGGGTATACGGGCAGTTTCACAACCTTCAATTATAGTTTGATTGACTGTTTCGAATTGGTGTTGAAGACATTTGTCCAGATTAAGTAATGTACTACAGAGATATAACTTGGGAATGATCTACCCTCAAAGCTTAAAAACAAATTAAAAACAAATGAATGGAAGAAGACCAGCTCATTAAATTGATTTTCTTGATAAAAAAAGAGGATTGTCATGAAGCATACATCAATCTGATGTCATATATGATTTTCATATATTCACAGTAATTGATTCGTCACCTCACAGGTGTATTACGAACCAACATATTAACCAGCTCCCAGTTGGCTTGTTAGCTCATTTGGTAGAGCACTACACCTATATCGCAGGGGGCCCTGGGTTCAAATCTCGTACGGGTCTTAATTCTTTTACAGGCCATATTTTTCACTACCGCTTAATAGTTGTGTTTATTACTGCAAAGATCGCTTTCATATTCATCTAGCTTCTTTATTGAGTAAAGAGTTGCTAGGAACTATACATTATTTTTTAAGTGTAGGAAAGATATTCAAAACACACGTGTATCTTAACAGAAGAGACGGAGAAACTTATATTCCACCAAGTTAAAACTTTGATAGTTTAAAACTTCAGCGATGCTTAAACAGAAAAAAAGGAGGCCATGAATGCAGACAAAGTGATCTGTCATTTACAACCGTCAAACAGTTGTTTTCTCTCAATTAAAATCCCTCCGATGAGGTGTTGTGAAAGAATATTCACTTCCCATCCCTATTATATGACAAACAAGTAGGATTAATGTGAGTAAAAGCGTAGCTCGCAGCGTGCGCGTAGCGAAGCACCATACCTATAAAATTTATAAAGCCGAGAAAGGTTGGTCTGTCACGTTATCATAAGTCCGTACGTGTAAACTGCTATATTAAGCATGAGCCTGGCGAAAGTAACCAACGTTAGATGAAGACATGAAGCATTTACAAGTAAAGTTATAACATGGAGATGGAAATTTTCAACCATGTCATTGCAACTGAGACCAAACATATAGAAAATCCTCCACAGGACATACGATGGCTGGCCAAAAAGACCGCTAAACAGGCAAGGAAGATGTTGTTGTAGGTTCGGAATCGAAGTGTTCCTTTCACGGCCTTTATCACCAGCGCGTTAAGCAGAACTGTGAAGGGAGAAGTGATACTGTTACAGGCGGACGCTGACGCTAATCGATCCGACAACAACGCATCGGAGAAATGGTTTTAATTCTCCACGGAACCTCCAAGCGTCTATCAATCATGAAAATTATTTCAGTAATCTGCTTGAAAGCTCATAAAAACTGAAATACTAAAATGAAATGAGTAAACATAAAAACTATTACTAAACAGTGAACTATTTTTCCAACAAAAAAAACAAAATTAGAAAATAAGTAAACAGGCAAAGAAATACCAAAATTTATTATGCTAAAAAGATAACAAATTACATCCGTTCGATAAATTTGAATTAATTTATCGTACCAAACGGCAAAGAAATATCTCCAGTTCCTACTTGCTTATTCTTATTGAGTTTTGCGAACGGTCACAATGACTCAATCCTTGTACGGTTAGATACTCAGTCATGGATATCCCGGAAGCATGAACTTCGATAAACTGCGCGTGCTTTGCGATGTTCATCCGGGCTTCTGCCACTGAAATGGTGGCGATTGCTCCCTAACACACGAGAGAAATTGTTAGCAAGGCATTATAAGTTATCACTGCTTTACTTTATATTATCGCCTTGTCGCGTGTCAGTGAGTACTTTCTAATTTAGTTCCACCTAAACGACAACTGAAAACAAGCTAATCAATACAGAAATTTTCTGTATTTACAAATAGCCTCATCTAAATAATATACATACATACATACATACATTCTTTATTTGATAAGTAGGTTGTGTGAAAGGCAGCCAAAGGGCTGATGTGGACCTACTATACTAAATATTAGGAATTACATATATATAAAAATTGCAATAATAACTTAGAACTACTATATACAAATAAAATGGTGTTCACTAAGACTAACATATAAATCTAAAAGTAAATGAAATGGTCCTTTCTGTTGGCAACTACTGTTGCCTCTTTCTCAAATGAAAAATTGTCAATAGTCTTAACATGTTTACGTAAGATTTGTTTAAAAGAATAAAAACTTTCAGGTACTTTAACTAATCTATTTACAAAATTCCAAATAACAGGACCTCTGTATCGTAGGGAGTTCCTGCCGGTCTCTGATCTAAATCTAATGACATTAAATTGGTTAGGAACACGAGAAGATCTAGAAGAAACTCTTTTAGAAAACAGTTCACATATCGACTGGGTCGTTGTTCCAAAATATACTTTGTGCAAGAGGAACAGTACAGATTTTTTATAGAAGTAAGAGATGGGCAGCCAGTCGGATTTCATGAGACATGTGTCATCTGCCATCGTTGAGTCGAGGTTATTCACAATACGAGCTGCTCTTGCATGAATATGGTTTAGAGAGTTCAGTGCGGAAGGAGAACAATTTCCCCATACCGAAATTCCATACGTTACACTGGGGATAATTGTTTTAAAGTATATTTCCTCGAGAACCTTCTTCGGAAGGATTCTCATTCTCTTCAACGCTCCAACCTTCTGCGTAAAAGATTTCTTCACTGAGTCAATGTGCACAGACCATGTCAGCTTATTGTCAATTTTAACTCCAAGACAAGTGGTGTAATTAACCAGGTCGATATGGCCAGTGTTAAAGTGGAGGGGAGGTATAGGCCCAACAAAAGAGGTTTTACTTAGTATCATTGCTTCAGTTTTAATTGGGTGGATGGTTAGCTGATTCTTAATGCTCCACAGGAGAACTTGCTCCAATGATTTATTTAGTGACAACATAACCTGGTCAACATTTGGTCCAATACAGTAAACTGTAGTGTCATCTGCATACATGTATAGATCTCCCGAGTCGATGTGGTCAGGAGATCATTAACATATATGGTGTAGAGCCCGGGGCCAAGAAGCGAGCCTTGAGGGACTCCATATCGCACATAGTCAGTGACCGACCTGCAATTATTAACTTCAGCAAATTGACATCTATCAGTAAGATAGCTCATTAGCCATTCATGAAGAGATCCTGATATTCCAATGGCGTGTAGTTTATGCGATAAAATATAATGGGGACAGTGTCAAAAGCTTTCTGGAAGTCAATAAAGACTGCTCCAACTGTCAGACCATTGTCAATTGCTGTCTTCCATCCTTCAGTCATAGAGGTAAGCATTCCTTCAGTCGATAGTCCTTGCTAAACCCCCACTGTTTACAGCTTTTTATGCCACAGCTGTTCAGATGGGTATCAATTATGTTGCAGATCTGGCTTTCGAGCAGCTTGCTGGGGATATTTAAAAGTGATATTGGCCTATAATTTGAAACATCTGCTGGGTTTCCTTTTTTAAAGATTGCATTAACTTTTGCAATCTTCCATGTGTTAGGGAAGCTGGACTGAGCCATGCTGCTCTTGAAAACAGTTACAATGCCCTCTAGGGCGGATGTTCCTGCAATAGCTAAGCTACGAGAAGAGATGCCATCAGGACCAGATGCTTTGTTAATTTTAATTGTCTTGATATCAGTTTTGAGTTTGTTGATGTTGACCTCCAAGACCTGCACAGTGGGGGTAACTCTGTACATGAATTGATGGGGATCATCAACTTCGGGGAATTTTTCAGCTAGTTCCTTGCCAATATTTATGAAGTAAGAGTTAATCAGTTCAGCTTTCTCGTAGTCATTTGTGATTTCCTTATTTTCAGCATCTCTGGGGGCCAATATGTTTATTCTTAGGTTTTCCAGTGGCCTCGTTCACAGTTTTCCAGAAAGATTTTGAGTCCTTGGTCTCTGTAAATTTCTTTTTCCAATATTGAGCTTCAGCACGTCGTAGCATCTTAGATACTTTGTTCCTAGAGGATTTGTAATCAACCCAGAGTTTATTAGTAGCGGGTGTGCCATCACAGGCTTTCAGAAGTTTATATCTCTTATTCATCTCTTTCCGGATCTCACTGTTCATCCAAGGTAGTGAATTTTTTCTAACCTTGGCTTTACGTAAGGAATGTGACTGCTTGCAATAATATTATACATGCAATTCCAAGCCCAAGTGATGTCATCCAAGTCCTCAAAGGTGGAACAGACCCACCAGGGAGCACTTTTCAGGTCATGTTTGAAGTCTTTCGGGTTTTCCAACACGTTCTTGAAGTTGTGGACATATTTAATAAAAGGCTTTGGATTCCTGATCTTCAGCTTGTAGATAACGTAGATGAATTTGTGATCAGCTATGCAATACTCAATCACATCAGACTTTGAGACCTTTGAGGTATTGATAGTCAAAATCAGATCGATCAAAGTGTTAGAATGTGCTGAGGTTCTTGTGGGTGCTTTTATGATGTTACAAAAGTTATAAGATTGTAAGATGCGTTTGAATTTCGCACCATTTCCATTAGTAGCAAGCTGATCTGAATTGAAGTCACCAGCGATCACAACATTCCTGCGAGACATCCAAATTGTACTCAATACTTGGTTGAATTCATCAAAGAAAGATGTAACGTCAGGAGGTCTATATACACAACCCACAAGTAATCTTTGCGAGTGAGCTTTCAATTCAATCCAGAGAGCTTCAATGCCGTCGTTGTCATATTTGGATATACGTACACAATCTAGGCTAATGTTAAAGTAAATAGCGACTCCGCCTCCTACTTTGTGTGACCTATCTCTTCTCAGAATTCGGTATCCATCGATGTTTACTTCGTATAATATGGAGGACTGGGTGAACTCGTGCCAATTGTGTATACTCAAGACGAAGTCAAAGGTTTGCATAACAGTTTGAGGAGTTCTCCAAACCAACCTAATGTTTATGAGGCTCCATAATTAAACAGAAAAGGTCTTCCACTGCATTCCGTTTAACATATTCAGCAAAATATACAAAGGCATGTAGCCTCGTCAAAACACACTGATTATCGACCAATGAAAGTGTGCCTATTATCTCAGTGGCTTTATAAGGCTTAATGCATTATTGAGATGGGACTCCATAATATAACATGACACTCTTTCATTGACTCTTTATGCGCCAGTTTTATTCCGCTTTAGAGACTTATTTGTTGGTGTCTGTCTACATCGATGTACATGGAGTAACAAATTACGTTCTCTAATTACACTACAACATTTGTTGGTATAGACAATAAGCTGTTATGAATTACAATCAGACGAAGGAGAAAAAAACCTTAAAAGACATGTTTTTTAAATTTAAATATGTGTATAAAAAAGGCTGGATAAAATGTTTGGTTTTGGAGTGCCTCGAAAAGAGTTGATTAATGGTATTTTACTAACAAAACATTTAAAATACTACTCTAAAAATGAAAAAAGTTCGTACAGCCACGATCTCTACGTCAACTGATTTAATCGAAGTCATTAAATATTTAAGGCTTGGAAATACGACTCTAACTTCTAATCATTGTTGTGCCCCATTAAAGGAGGAGTTCCCTACATACAGTGACCACCTGCAACATGGTATGTTAAAAGACTCCTTCTTTGCACAACGTCTTAATTAAAGCTCATTAAAACCTTAATCCCGGGTTTCTAAACTGGCTTAGGTCTTTATTCGGCTCAGTTTGAGAGTTTATCCCCAAAATGGCGAGACAATTAATCGACGACTCTGACGATAACCATTAAATTCGTCATATATTGTCATAACAAATTCATTTCTTCTCAAGAAAACTCATATCAGGTATTCGTTGATGACTTCGATATTTGGTTTTCTCTTGACATATGTCCAAAATTCTGCCAAGTTGCTGAACAGAAAAAGGAAAGACCCATCTACTGTTAAACCTGGTTTGCATAACGTATGTAAATCAATAGCAGCTGAAAACTCAAAATTTTAGAGATCGAACAGCGTAAGCTTCACCTTCATCAGCTTTTATTATCTTTTGGTAATTACTATCATCATATGCATTTCTTCCACAAATTTTCCAGTGCAAGTTACAATGGTATCTCGCGTGAATTTTGAGTGTACTCATTTCTATGGCAAATCCTTTTTAATGAAACCTTTTTCCCCTTTCTTTCACACCTTCCCTCATAATCCAAAAGTAAAAGCAGAAGTTTAGTTTATAATGTAAACTTAGAAGTTGTACTAATTGACACTCATTTGAGTCAGCCGCTAAGCAACAATAAGATAAAAACAAATGAATACATTGTAAAAAGATCTCGTCTCTTTTACTTCATAATGAGAACAAAAGTATTGGGATGTTCTGTTACAAACACCGGAATAAGGGATTTTTTAAATTTTACCCTTACAAATCCTTAATATCGTAGAGCTAAAGGAATTCTCTACTTTAGGTATAAATTTGTTATATATACCGGCCGTAGGGGCGTTGTTTATTATGTTTACTCATTTTCGTTCGTCGGATGCGACCTTTCGGTATGTTTATATCACTATGCTTTCATTTCCGGAACTTATCTTCGACATATAGAAAGAAACTTTGTGTTGCATTACTGGATCTTGTCGTGTTATGAGATTAATTAGAGGAGATATGAACATGAGAGCATACTGGTGAAACAAGAACTTAGGGAAGAAATAAGCCTTCAGATGAAAACAGACAGGCATTGATAAATTATGAGGAAACACTGTTTAATGGGTAATGGTGCGCCCCTCAAATAGAATCAGAGTGGCCTATAAAAACTTCTCAGAATAACTAGTTAATCATTCTCATCACGACTGGATGAACTGAATGGAAGCAGACATGAACACAATGTGGATTATACTCTTCTTCTCCTTCATTTATTTGCTGCTTCTGAATAATCAAGCAGAGGCCTTCGGTCGGCCGAAACTAGTGGCTAAACGGCGTTTTCCCCTTGAAAGAGTCGTCCAGGTATTTGGCTGTTACTGAGAACGGAGAGCAGGGTTAACTGTTGTGAAAGTTTGTGAAAATGAATTTGTCATTTTTTCTCTTGCAGTACCAAGATCCAGGACAGGAAACTACTGGACTATGAATGGGCCACTGGACTATGAATGGTCCATTCCTGTCGGAAGAGAAGTTCGTCAAAAGGAGGTCAGTTGTTGTTTTAATTATGACGACATTTGAAAACCATGAGCGAGCTTACTTAACAGTAAACGGGAAGCACTCTGTTAGTTAAATCAAGTAAAATGTATAATTGAATTGTATTGTGCCAAGGAAAACATTTCAAAAGTGAGATTTATTGGTCTTGGGATCTGCAAACCGTGAGTGTGTGATTCAACGTGATCAAAAATTTAATTGCAGAGCGGGGAAACAACTTGATACATCATAAGGTTTATTGCTGGTGATCAGTTTATTTGTCACTGACTAACTATTTTTGTCTCTTTTGATAGAGAGAAGACCCGAAACTGGAGGCTAACGAGTGGATGTACTGAGATGAAACGCCCACTCGCTTGGCTTGTGGATAAACTGAAAAGGCGCCATTATATTGCGACGCGAGTCCAGAAGTAATACCGGCTATTCATTTATTCCTTTTCAATAGATTGTAAAAATATTATGGAATACTCTGAAATAAAACGATTTGAAACCAGTCAGATGAACAGCATTCTAATATCCTGTCCCTAGCTTTATCGTCTGAGGGGGGGGCCCCGCCGGGGGGGAAGGGATATGGGCATTTTCGCAACCTTCATTTATAGTTCGCAGGCGCGTAGCGTCCTATACGCATATACGCACGTGCGTACCTGAAGTGACTAGAAAATTTTGACATTTTTAGCAATTGTTTCTATTTTTAACATTTTACTTGTACGCAACCAAGATTTCGTGATGAAAACACCACTTTGATTAAATTCTAAAAGCTAAAACAAAAGCTATACCATGTTCTAACTTAGTTTTGCATGGTACTTTTTTTTACTAAACAATGCAGTGTTGTTTGGCCAGCGTGTAACAAAAAGGCGAGGTTGCAAAGGAGCGACGTTCCAAGAACGTTCTTGACAAAGGAGCGACGTTCCGAGAATGTTGTTGACAATTCCAGTCACGCTAGCTCTGACTATAAAATAGATTCGAACCCAGCGATCTTTCCGGTTTGCTTTGATGTGATACATAATATGTCAAAAAGATCCATCAAAGATTTTTTCAATGTCATCGAAGACGAAAATAGTGGATCTAACGATGAAGAAGGTAAGCTGCTCGATTGTATTGCCTGGCCGTGTAGTCAAATCTCTGCTCAGAAATATTGTATACGATGATTTTCCAGAAAATTCTCAAGCAGTGGTGGCACCCCCACAAGATATTTTCCCGGAAGAATCTAATACAAGTCAATTCAGACAGAATGGTCCTCTCTATCCTGAGAGTTTAACTGAAAGTGGCCAAGTGAAGGCACTCACTGACAGCGAGAAGGTTGCGAGAAGGAAGATGGATAGCGCTGATTTGTTGCATACAGCTTTCCTTTAAGGTTTGAAAGCAAGTTTTGAATTATTGCTCCACGGTTTGCCATGGTGTGAATTCTTCAATGAAAACTGATAAGCTAATAACGTCACTAAGCATGGTTAGAAAAATTTAGTAATTGGCCTTACTTGTATATTTTTAGAAACATTTCCGGAAAGAATAGAAAGATAAACCCCGACATCACTGCAAGAACACCCTGGTTGAGATACAGACACCCTTTACTGTTGTTACTGTTTATTATTCATCACCCATGATCGTTCTTTCCGTACTCGTGATTGGTCCAATATTTCTAAACTAGTGAAGAAGCATGTCTGCGAAAAAAAGTGCTCATCACACTGCAGTAGCTCGCGGGGAAGTGTTTCTGCACACCTAGCGAGGTGGTGCACCTAACATCTGTCAACAGCTTCACTCTCAGAGAGCGGAACAAGTTAGAAGGAATAGAATTATTCTCAAGTGTATAACAGAGGTCCTAGTCATGATGGGGAAGCAAAGCATAGCTATCTAAGGTCTCGAAGACGAAGATAGCAATTTTATGGCGATGCTGTCTCTATTGGCGACAGAAAACTCAGTTCTGCGTGAGCACCTAGAAAACGCACCTCGGATTTCCAAGTATACATGTCCGGATATCCAGAACGAGATCATCTTTTTTTCAGCAAAGCAGATTCTCGATGGCTTAATTGACAATTGCAAGAGATCTGTCATTTATGCATTAATTGCTGATGAGTCGACTGATGTTACAAATAACGAGGAAATTTCTATTTGTATACGTTTTGTTGACAGGAAAGAGGACGGGAAACATCTCATAAGTGAAGAATTCCTTACTTTTGTACATGCAGACAAAGGAAGCAACGCTGAGGAACTCACAACAAAATTGCTAGAGACCATCCAGAGCGTCGGTTTTTCAGTGAATGATATGAGAGCCCAAGGATATGATGAGTGGGCACGTGAGTGGTGTGCAAACACGGATTCGTCAAGTAAATCCAAATGCTGTTTATATCCATTGTCGACCTCATGTTAAGCCTCTGTATTGTCCATGCATCAAAGCTTCCACTTGTGAGAAACATCATGGATACCATGCAAGAAGCTACGTTGGCCTTTAAGTTCTCTGCAAAACGTTTGTTTCTATTTAAAGAACAACTTGGAGACAATCCTGTTGCTAGAGAAGAAATGGGAAGACGCTCAAAGCTGAAGGTGCTTTGTGAAACGCGCTGGGCCTCCGGAGCAGATTGCCAGGCAGTTTTCTTCGACGCTTTCAAGGTATTAATTGATATTAATAATCTGAATCATAGCCCATCTTTTATGAGCTATATACAATGGAACATTTTGCTTATCCATCAATGTTCATTTTCAGGTTATAGTCGACACGTTAGACCAGCTAAGCGAGGAAGGTGATAGCAAAGCCAGAGCGCTCCACGCGTCTATTCTGAAATGGGACTGCATTATTACTCTTGTTGTGCTTCAGCATATTTTTGAATATACTAACAAGCTGCTGGTATGCCTTCAAGTGAGATCAAATGATAATATATCTTTGACTTTTACATTTACTACATTACTAAGAATCAAAACCATTTTTTTGTACCCAGAACCCTGACCTCGAATTGATTCAAGCCTCTGAAGAAGCAAAAACCTGCCTCTCTGTTCTGAATGCCGAGCGAAATGACAATGCTGTTTGGGAGGCCTTGATGGAAAAGGCTATAGAAATCGCCTCGGATTACGGCATTGATCCATCATCGCCAAGAACGGCAGGAAGGCAACAACATCACAACAACGTTCCAGCGGATACTCCATCAGCATATTGGAAAAGGGCAATGTATTTGCCATTTCTAGATCACCTCGTTACAGAGATCAATGAAAAGCTCGTGGTGCCACTACCAGGCTTCGAGGCTCAGCTCCTTATCCCAGGTAAATGACATCGCATTGGCTACAAGAATTTTGTGGATCATGTTCATTTGACCGCTCAGTGGTTTAGCACATAGACCACAGATTACTGTTCTTGCTGATAGGAAAGCTTGGCCTGTTGACGGAGGAAAAAATTGAAGTCGATCCATGCTTACTACGGTAGTGACATGGCCATCGATTTGGAAGAGTTCAAACTCGAAGTGAACAGATGGAGGTACCGCTGGTCTATCAGGGAGCCAACCGATCCTCTCCCACAGACGTTGGTAGAAACTCTAGATGTAGCTAATGCTGCATTCTACCCAGGAATCTATGTAGCAGTAAAAACGCTCTTGACGTAACCCGTATCGGCATGCGCTGCTGAGCGCAGCTTTAGTTCGATGAAAAGGTTGAAGACGCCACTACGAAACACGATGACCGACCATCGCCTTTAATCGTTAGCAATATTGCACATCCACACGGAAAAAGAAATCAATGTTGAGAGTGCACGCAACCAGTTTTCACAGCACAAAGAAAGACGCCTCGTTCTTTGCTTATAAATGATAACTGTACTTTAAAACGAAAAACGCTGCTGAGTGCATGCTCGAGGATCCCCTACCAAAACAATGTTATGTTTGCGGCTAGTTTGCTCAAAATAAGGGCAAGACGCTTTGTTCTTTGCTTGTATTCACACAACTATTTCGAACAAGAAATAAAGAACGCAGTATTTTTCGCTCAGTTTACTTAGGTTTCCAGATCATATGTACTTGTGTGTACTTGAAAAAATGACCACGCTACGCGCCTGGTTCGATTGATTGTTTCGAGATTTATTAAACACCAAAGAAAATTCATGTTGAAGGCATTTGTCCAGATTTGGTAATGTATTACAAAGATATAATTTGGGAATGATCTACCCTCAAAGCTTAAAAACAATTTAAAAACAAATAACTGGAAGAAGACCTGTTCATTAAATTGATTTTCTTGATAAAAAAAAGGATTGTCATGAAGCATGCATCAATCTTATTTTAATAAGAAGGAGAATGCAAGTAGTTCTATAACCCGCTGTTGATCCCGTTTTCATCCTATTACCAATTAAATAAAGGAAGTTATATGCATGACACGCAGGAAACACATTTTACCTGAAATAAAGTTAAATATGTAGCTTTTTAAAAATTCTTCGATACTTTAAGGCACCAAACAAATTGATCATTAAAGAGAGAGGATCATTTTTGACGACAAATAAGAAAATATCAGAATCATTGCTTGCTATGTTTAAGGGTACTCGCGTTTAAAATGCATGTTGGAATAATACTCAAACAATACGGATTTATATCGTCATGTAAGTGAACTGCTGATTCAGAAATGAATACGAAAACGATCTTTGCAGTAATGAACACTACTTGAGCAGTAGTGAAAATAAGGCCTGAAAAGACAAAGTGATCTATCACTTTTAACCATCAAACAGTTGTTTGCTTTTAATTAAAATCCCTGTGATGAGGTGTTGTGAAAGAATATTTACGATGGCTGGCCAAAAAGACCAGTTGATACATCAGTCACCACTAAAAACAGGCCAGCAAGATGTTGTTATTGGTTCGGAGTCGAAGTCTTCTTTTGACGGCCTTTATCACCAGCGAGAAGAAGGGAGACATTTTAAATGCGTTCGATAAATTTGAGTTGATTCCTCGCCCCAAACAGCAAAGAAATATCCCCAGTTCCTATTTACTTATTCTTATTGAGTTTCGCGAACGATCACAACGACTCAATCCTTGTACGGTTAGATACTCAGTCAGAATCTTACGTGCAATCATATGTGACAGCAATACACGAATGGATATCCCGAATGCATGAACATCGATTAACTGCGTTTGCTTTGCGATGTTCCATCCGGGCTACTGCCACTGAAATGGTGGCGATAGCTCCCTAACACACGCGAGGAATTGTTAGTAAGGTATCATAATTTATCACTGCACAACTTTTTATTATCATCTTGTCGCACGTCAGTGAGTAGTTTTCAAATTTTAATTCCACCTAAACGACAACTGAAAACAATCTAATCAATGGAGAAATTTTCCGTATTTACATATAGCCTCATCTAAATAATCTGGAGGACTGGGTGAACTCGTGACAATTGTGTATACCAAGACGAAGTCGAAGGTTTGCATAACTTTGAGGAATTCTCCAAACCAACCTAATGTTTATATGAGGCTCTTTAATTAAACAGAAAAGACCTTCCCCTGCATTCCATTAAACATAATTAGCAAAAAATACAAATCCATGTAGCATTGTAGGTGTTGACATACTCTCGTCAAAACACGCTGGTTATCGACCAATGAAAGTGTGCCTAGTATCTCAGTGGCTTTATAAGGCTTAATGCATTACTGAGATGGGACTCTATAATAAAAATGATTCTAAAACGGACCAATTAAGTAAAAAAAACTTTCAATTTTTACAAAAAAATGATGTTAAAAGATACTTATTTTTGCCCACGATATAAAACGTGAGACTCCTCCAATTGACTCTTTCTGCGCCAGTTTCATTCCGCTGTAGGGAATTTTTTGTTTGTGTCTGTCTCCATCGATGTACACGGAGTAACAAATAACATCTCTAGTTACACTATAAAATAGTTGGTATAGACAATAAGCTGTTATATGAATCACCATTAGACGAGGGAGAAAAAAACGTAAAAAAAGGACATGCTTTTAAATTTTAAATTTATGCGTAAAAAAAGGCTGGATTAACTGGATAGTTTTGGAGTGCCTCGCAAAGAGTTGATTAACGGTATTTTCTACTGGTTAATATGTTGGGTCCAAATAAATCATCCAAGTGATGAATAATGATTTAAGGTATATGAAATTCATATATTTGCACTGCGGTGAAGGAAAAAAATTCAGGTCCTATTTTCAACTACTAGTTCAGTAGTGTTCTTAGCTGCGAGGATCTCCTAAATTCGTTTCTTCACCGCAGTGCAAATATATGAATTTCATATATCTAAAAACATTATTCATGACTTGGATGGTTTATTTGGACCCAAAATATTGACCAGCTCTCAGTTCGCTTGTTAAGCTCAGTTGGAAGAGTGCTGCACCGGTTTCGCAGAGGTCATGGGTTCAAATCTTTTCAGGTCCTATTTTCAACAACTAGTTCAGTGGTGTTCTTAGCTGCGAGGATCTCTTAAATTCGAATATCTACTTCTTATCCATTTTATATGACAAACAATTACGATAAATGTGAGTAAAAGCGCGGCTCGCAGCGTGTGCGTAGCGAAGCACCATACCAATAAAATTTATAAAGTCGTGAAAGGTTGGTCTGTCACGTAATCATAAGTCCGTACGTGTAAACTGCTATATTAAGCATGAGCCTATCGAAAGTAACTTACTTACTTACTACCCATCATGCCTGTGTGGCACATAGGGTAGCAACGAAATCCTTCCAACCCTGTCTATCTATCTGTCTAACCAGTTTTTCAATGGTGCTCCAGCTGTAATCGAGCCCGCTTAGTCTCTTCTCTACTGTCCTGCGCCAAGTTGTTTTCGGGCGCCCTCTGTTTCGTTTCCCTTCAGGTGTCCAGTGCATTGCATTTCTGGTTATGTTGTTACAGGCCTTCCGCATCACATGACCGATCCACCTCCATCTTCTCCTGTTGACAAGCGTACGAATATCCTCCTGCTTGGTTTGCCTCAGTAGCTGGTCGTTTGATATTTTCTGAGGCCAGAAGATTCTCAGAATCTTCCTGAGGTTAGCTGTGTGGAAGGATGCTAGTTTTGAGAGGTCCTGTTCTGTCATTCGCCAGCATTCCGAGCCGTAAAGGAGAGTTGACAATACGCAGCTCTGATAGATTCTAAGCTTCGTCTTTGTGCTGTAGCTTGCTGACCTCCACACTGATCTTAAGCTCATAAAGGCATTTCTTGCTTTGTTCAATCTGCTTTGTATATCTACACTAGTACCCCCATCTTGGCAGAGCACACTTCCGAGGTATGTGAACTTATTGGTGTATGGAATGTCCTGTCCTCTTACCCTGATCTTTGTTGGGGAAGGGACATTAACACACATGGCCTCCGTCTTCTTCAAGCTAATTCTCAAGCCGACCTGGTTGCTGAACATGCTGAGCCAGTCTGTCTTTTCCTGAATGTGCTGTCGTGTGTGGGACAATAGGGCTAAATCATCTGCGAAGTCGAGGTCTTCGAGTATAGTAAAAGGGGTCCATCTTATGCCTCTTCGCTGATCTTCCATTGTTCGACAAAGGACCCAGTCGATGGCAATATTGAATAGCATGGATGACATGACACATCCCTGCCGTACACCGGTTTTAACTTCAAATCTTAGATCTCCCTGACCGATGCAACATGTGAAATTTGAGTAGAAGCATTTGATGATATTAATAATGCGTTGTGGAATGCCATATGCTCTCAGAATCTGCCAAAGACTGTCCCTGTGAATGCTGTCAAACGCTTTCTCATGGTCGATGAAATTTACATACAACTCCTTGTTCCAGTCAGTACATTGCTTAAGTATGTTCCGCAGTGTGAAAATGTTATCCGTACATCCACGTCCCTTGCGAAATCCAGATTGCTCGTTCCGCAGGAGGTCATCAACAGCTTGGGTGATGCGCTGTATAATGACCTTGCAAAAGATTCTACTTGGCACAGACAAAAGGGTAATTCCTCGCCAGTTGTTACAATCACTTAGAGACCCTTTCTTTGTTATCTTGATTATCACTCCTCTGCTCCAATCTGTCAGAATTTCTTCCTGCTCCCAGATCTTTGTAAACAAGGGGGTCAGAATGGTTGCAGCAAGCTCTGGGTCTGCTTTAAACAGCTCGGCATTTAGATTCATGGCCAGGAGCTTTTCCATTCTTCAGGGAATTAATGGCTTGGATGATTTCCCTCCTAGTTGGAACGTCTGTGCTGATGTCAAAGTCGGTTGCGGCTTCCTGGATGTTTGGCACTACTGTTGGTGGTGGTCTAAAGTGCTCCGTCCAGCGCCGTTACTGCTCTCCCTCTGATGTTAATAAGATACCGCTTTTGACCTCTACAAGCACGTTGGTTGTATGGCATTTACTTGTTATGATCTTGGTGACCTTATATACTGTTCCTTGCTCATTTAGTGCAGCTGCCTCCTCCACCTGGGATGCAAGGTTCTCTATGAACTTCCGTTTATCTGCTCTTGTTCGGCGTTTCACCTCTTTGT